GCCAGGATGGTCTCGATCTCCTGACCTCGTGATCCGCCCGTCTCGGCCTCCCAAAGTGCTGGGATTACAGGCTTGAGCCACCGCGCCCGGCCCAGAAAGAATCTCTCTTAAGGGAATCCTAACTTTAGGGAAACCTGAACGTGAAATACTAGTAAACAAAAGATTCAGGCAGGAGACCTTTCCTGGCACCAGAAATCAGTATACTCCAGCTGTCATACACATTCATCTCTCTTCACTGGAGAGAGGAAGCTGCATATGGTTGTGGGGTGCAGCAGGGCACCATTTAAGAGAAAGAACTAAATCAATCAGTTTCATTGGGCAGCAATCTGCAAAATTTGGGAAAGGAGAGAGAGAATGAGTCTTTCGGCCCAGATTACCCTACTCTCCTTCTCCCTTTCCTACACTCTGAAGCAGCAGTGATGAGGAGAGGCGATAACACAAAAGGATCTTAGCAAGGATGTGGCCTCAGACACCATGTCCCCAAAGGAAGAAGTCATATCAGAACTCTCCCTTCTTACACACTGCAATCACACCCTGAGTAGGAATAAAGAAGTGGAAATGTGTCAGAGGAGCCTGAGAATTCGAAAGGGGAAATCTCGGAGACATGAAAGGGAGGGGCCCCCGAGACTTGAAGCTGGGGGAAAACAGACAGACGTCCCTTCCGACCTCCCCGGGTGCACTCTGCCGTCTCCACTCCTGCCTCCGCCCCTTTCCACTTGTGCGGGGCCGCACGGACCTTCGCTCTCCCGGTAGACATGACAAAGGCCGGCCGGGAGCCGGGGGCGCGACAGCATCGGGGCGGCCAGCCGTCGTCCCCATCCCCAGGACAGGACACCTGCGCCGCCCCCTACTCACCTGCGGATCCATGTCCACCTCGGTCCCACACGCGCCGGGGGAATGCAGTGGAAGAGAACTGGGTTCCGGGGATCCTGGGACTCGCGTTCTCTCGCCCGCTCGCGAAGCAGGGTAGAGAACTCGCGCGGCTCCGGCCGCTACCAGCCCCGCGCCACACCCGCCACTTTTGAATTCCAACGGCCGCCACCCGCTCTCACCGCGCTCTGCACGCAGGGACCAATCGTCGCTGTCGCCACAGCCGAGGGCCAATCGCAGCGTCCTCCGCCACCCGAAGCCACACCCCGCCCGACAGGCGCCTTCTCTTTTCTGTTTCGCAGGCGCCGGAGAGGTAAGCGGATTAATTCCACTTCCGGTCCCACTTAGGCTTCTCACCCCTCCCTCCTCTAGCGGCAACCGTGCTGGACTTCCGCTCCGCTCCCCGCCGTCGCTCGCTACGTCAAAAAATGCGTGGACGTCGCCGCACGAACGCAACTGGCCGAACGTAACTGGTGGCGGCCGGAGGAGGAGGGGCGGGGATGCTGGAGGAAAGAAATCACGCATGCGCAAACAAGAACCATTGCCGGTAGACAGGCTGGACTAGCGCCTCCTGGTGACTGCAGTAGGGAGCGCACTCGTTTTCCGTCGACGTGATTGCGGCTCCAGCGCTGCCTCTCCTGGTCGTGGTTGACTGGGCCCGGAAGTGGCTCCTGGAGCCCTCACGTGGACGTTAGTGGCCTGGTCTGTTCATTCCCTGGTGATGTTGCCTTTTCTCACCAAATTTACGAACTTTTGCGCTCCATTGAAGCCTGACAGTGGGGATTCAAAACTCAGGAAATAATTTTTTTTTTATAGCCCTCTTCTCTCAGTCAACCTACTTACCTGGGTGCTGTTACTGGTGCTGGGCTCAGGGCCTTTGGAGTCTCGAGCCCAGGGAAGATTTACTGCTTCCATTTATGGAGTATTTTATGTTTTTCAGGTTATAGACCTGTATTATCTCCTCTTATAATCTCAAAAATTCACTGAGTTCCTACATTGTGCCACGTTCTTTGTATAGATGGATGGATACAGGTTCAGAAAGGTTAAATAGTAAGTATAAGGTCACACCGCTGGTTGGGAATGGATCTAGATTCCATTAGCTTCAAAATTCGAGCTATTTCTGTTAACTCACGTTGCCTCTAACAGGCTTGGTAACAAGACAAACCCCTTACGTGTGAATAAGGTGCTAGTTTGCAAAGTCGTTCTACCATATTTACTCATCCGAGTTTCCATCCAATCCTGGAGGTAGTCAGGACAGGGTTTTATTTATGAAGCCGAAAGGCAGGGGCCTAAAGCATATGTTCCGGGGTTTGGTGTGCAGTTGGAAATTGGCAGGTCTGGCACCCACGCTGCCGTCTTCTATCCATTGCTTTAATTTGGCTTCAAACAAACTTGTGGAGAGAAGCAGATTGTGGGGAGACACACTGTCTGAAAACCATGTTGCCATCCCCCCAACCTTTGATATCCTGGGAAAACTCCAAAAAGCAAGCGCTGGAAGAGAACACAGTAAAAAGAAAAGTAAAGGAAGAAACTAGAGAAAACCGACAATGGAAGGTAAAGGGAGTAACTGAGAAGGGAGACCTGAGAAGAAACATATAGCTAAAGATATTTATCAAATTAAAAGAAAAAGTTAAACTAGGAGAAATATAGACCCATTAGCAGATGAAAGGGGGAAAATTTATTCATCCCAATTGATGCAGCAAAGCCACTCAAAATATTCAACACCCATTGATTTAAAAAAAAAAAAAAAAAAAACTCCAGAAGCTGATAAAGGACATCTTCAAAAATTTCTCAAAACATCTCACCATAATGGTGAAATGTTGAAAGCATTCCTTTCAAGATGGGGAACAAGGCAAGGATGCCTGCTCTCAATAATCCTCATCAATACAACAATGGAAGTTGTAGCCAGTGCAATAAGCAACAAATATATAAGGATTACAAAAAACAATAATGTTAATATTCGCAGATGAAATTATTGCATGTACAGCAACCCTAAAGTAAAATTCAGATAAAATTGATAAATGAGTTTAGCAAGGTTGATGGATAAAAGATCAGTAAGAGGAAAAAAATCAATTTACAAGATCAATTGCATTTCCATCTTCAGCAACACCAATTAGAAAACGTAACTTTAAAAACTGTACTATTTGGTTACATGAATATTTACATACGTAAAAGTTAAGCTCAGGCTGGGCGCGGTGGCTCACGCTTGTAATCCCAGCACTTTGGGAGGCTGAGGCAGATGGATCACCTGAGGTCAAGAGTTCAAGACCAGCCTGAACAACATGGTGAAACCCCGCTTCTACTAAAAATATAAAAATTAGCTGGCTGTGGTGGTGTGCCTGTAATCCCAGCTACTCAGGAGGCTGAGGCAGGAGAATTGCTTGAATCCAGGAGGCAGAGGTTGCAGTGAACTGAGATCGCACCACTGAAGTCCAGCCTGGGCTAACACAGTGAGACTCCTTCTCAATAATAATAATAATAATAATAATTAGAAAAAGAAACACTTATTGTGTGCCAACGATCTGGAGTCAGAGGACCTGTGAAGGTGCCACACTGTGCTGCTTACTGGGAATACAGCAGTGAACACAACAGATGTGGGCCTCCATTTCTCAAAGTTCCGGCCCAGTGAGGAGTACAGATGAGCAGAGAGGCAGCGACAAAAAATAAAAGAGATCATGCATGTGAAGTTCTTAGCACGGTCTGTACAATTGTATGTATCCCTGAGCAGCAGCAGCAGGGCACAACGGGCCAGAGCCAGGCTCATCAAGTGTGCAGAACTGAGAAGGGCTGCAGCACGGAACAGTCTGGGGAGCCAAGGCTGGCGGGATGGGTAGGAGGGGGCAGACCACGAAGGCTTTACCCTGGGGATAGGAGCAGGAGTCTCCTTCAAATCTGTCAGTTGGTGGGATTCCCTACTTCCAGGATGGGGAAGGGTGAAGCTTTACAGGGACAAAGTCTGTGCTGGAGTGAGCCCAGGAGTTCAAGACCAGCCTGGGCAATATGGGGAAAAGGAGTAAACACTCCTTTCCTTGTGCATCATGCAGTTTGCCACCATCTGCTACAGAGAGCCCCACAGGGCAGGGTTTCCTGCTGGGCCACCTCAAGTGCTACAGGCCTGCCCGGGGGTGTCCTGCCCACACAGGGTGCTGTGGCTCAGGCACTCAACCTTGGTCCAGCCTCTCACAGCTGAGCATAATATTGATAGTGACACTGAGTCTTTGATAGAGGCTGTTAGTTTCCCCCCCAGTATTGTTTCTCCAATCTTTTCTTCTTAATGAACCCTCCAGTTTTTTGCAAGACACAGGGCCACCAAAAAAGACCTCAATTCCCAGCCTGTCTTGGGACTAGGTATGGCAATGGATGGTGCTCTGGCCAACAGAGCACAAATGGAAGTAATGTATCCACATTTCAGGGAAAGCCCGGAAGAAAGGAGTATGCCCTTCCCCGTCAAACCATGCCATTTGTTGAGAGTAGAAGAACCACAGGCTTGGCCTGGCGCTGTGGCTCACACCTGTAATCCCAGCACTTTGGGAGGCTGAGGTGGGCAGATCACCTGAGGTCAGGAGTTTGAGACCAGCCTGGCCAACATGGTGAACCCCGTCTCTACCAAAAATACAAAAAATTAGCTGGGCGTGGTGATGGGCACCTGTAGTCGCAGCTACTCGGGAGGCTGAGGCAGGAGAATGGCGTGAACCCGGGAGGCGGAGCTTGCAGTGAGCCCAGAGAGCACCACTGTACTCCAGCCTGGGCAACAGAGCGAGACTCTGTCTCAAAACAACAACAACAACAACAACAAACCCACAAAAAATTAGCCAGGCATGGTGGCAGCCGCCTGTAATCCCAGCTACTCAGGAGGCTGAGGCAGGAGAATTGCTTGAACCTGTAAGGCGAAGGTTGCAGTAAGCCGAGATTGCACCATTGCACCCCAGCCTGGGCAACAAGAGTGAAACTCTGTCTCAAAAAATAAAAAATAAAAAAAAATAATAAAAAAAAAAGCTCTTCCTACCATCTTGACTCCTGTGGAGGCCTGCTGGGAAAAGGACTTCTAAAAGGAACTATGTCTGGAAGGTTGTGGTCCAAGGCCATTTTTGG